TTTTTTATTTTTTAAGTTATAATTAATCTGATTAAATATTCTTTTTTGTCTTAATGAGACGAAGAAAATGATATAAAGAATTTGGTTGTAGGTCAATAAATAATATATTTTTAGCATAGTGGGTATTGAATACCCATCTAAAAGTGGGTATTGAATACCCACTTTTAAGATTGACCTTAATTTTAAAGGTTTTTTGGAGGTAACTTTTTTATTTTTCAAGATAAAATAAATCTGATTAGATATAATTCTTTGTCTCAATGAGACGAAGAAAATGATATAAAAAAGTTTTACCTAGCTCTATAAATAAAAAATTTATACCCTTATGAGTATGTTTTTCAAACGCGTGAAAAATTTCTAAGTCCAAAATTACATTAAATAAGGCCATAAAATTTTTATTTTTTAAGTTACAATAAATCTGATTAGATATAATTCTTTGTCTCACTGAGACGAAGAAAATGATATAAAAAACTTTTACCTAGCTCTATAAATAAAAGATTTATAGTCGAAAAACCTGTATTTTTCACTCGGCGTACGAAAATTCCGGACTTTCATACCCGACTTCCGGACGAACCGGATGTCCCACCGGAAAAAAAATTATATATCTGTAATCTACTCGTCAATACGAATCTAATGACACCTCACACATTACGAAATAACGACTTTGAAAATTCCCGGATTTTCACTCTGGACCCCCGCTCCCGTCCGGAGGGGTGGGGACAGAGTTTCCGAAAGTACCCCAAAATGTTCCCCTGGTGGAGTACTACTGCCCCACACCCCGAGTTGCCACCTGGGACCCCCCTAACCCGGTCAAAATAGGCGGTGGGCACTCAGTACCCACTTGAAAAAAAGTGGGTACTGAGTGCCCACCGAAAGTGGGTACTGAGTGCCCACTTTAGCAAAAGGTCAAGCTCATTTATATGAACTTTACTCTGCACAGTCTGCAGACCAGCTAATGTTTGTGAAAGACACATGAACTCTAATTTAATATTTCCTTTATTGCTCTTTGCTGCTGAACAATGACAGAAGACCAACTGACAATGCCTGTTTTCTATTTTTCAAATCTAAATGAACCCAAAATGAGCAGATCAATTTAAATAAAAAAAAACACCTGCAAAATACAATTATCCAATCATAATGAAAAACCAGGTGCACATCTTTCTAAGGTGAGTAGCAAGTGTAAAAATTTTCAGACAAATATATGCAGTAGTCTCCAAGAACAGGTCTGGAAAAAGGCACATCTACAGACACATGGACATACTGATTCCAATGTAACCCCCTCCCAACTTTGCGTGCTGGTTTTTCTATGTAAAAGTGCATTACCTTTTTCACAACTTTGGAGAAGGTATCCTTTCTCATTATTATCATGCATGCACTTCATTTATATGCTTATTATGCAGGAGAAGAAGGTGCATTAAAACTTGTCTAATCAGGCCACTACTGGTTCCATAGAAATTTTCAGGATTAACATTTTAATCAACTGGAATATCTGAAAGGGAATTGAAGTTAACATCATATAAGACAAGATTTCGGAATACAAAACATCCAGAATAGACTAGATTTACTGTACATATTTTCACAATATGATCAACAGAGCCCCACCTAGACTCCAAAACCTGGGTCACAGGGGCTAGAGATATTATGAAATTGTACCAATTACCATTGAGCAGTGAGGGATCTTTTTCGTGCTAGCACCTACTGCGACACGGGACCTCTGTTTATACGGTCTCCACGTCCCACAGTGGGATTCGAACCCGCGACGTAAGGATCAACTCCTTACTCCGCGACTCTAGAGCAGACGCTCTACCACTGCGCCACGCAGGCGACCGTACTTTACGTAAAATAGTTTGAAAAACATTTTCCGGTTAAGAATTTATAGGACTAAAGTTCCAAGATTTTAAATCAAACTAATGTCTAGATTTGAAGAACTTTCTTTTAAATATCCTTATACCACAAAAATAGTCCCCAATAAATCATGTTTCTTTGCAATTTTGTAAGCAGTTTTTAAACTGAATATGGTATAATTAGCACTGTTTCGTTCAAATATGTCATACCATTTCAATTACAGTAATTGATTTTGAAGTTAGAGGTTCTGACCAAACTTTTCCCAAAAGCTGACAAGTGACATACCTTAATTAATCACAGACTGGGGTGTAAAACCCGGACTCAAGGATAAATAATTTCACACGTTTAGTAAAAAGACGATAATTAAGTGCTCATTATAATTATACAGATATTGTCTTCTCAGAAGAACATACGAAAGATAAAGACTTGTAACAGAAAACCAAGGTTACAACACCCTTTGATAGAATATTAAACACGTGAATTAAGTGTCATGTATTTCACAATTTAAATAGAGGAATAATTGCTTGTTATAATCGCACAGTTTCTCTGTAAGATGTCCATGAATAAAGATGAAGAATTACAAATGTGTACCGTTGCACCCGTGGCGTAGTCTGCTATAGAGTGGCGGAGTAAAAAGATATTTACGTCGCGGGTTCGAATCTCACTGCGGGACGTGGAAACCTGTTCTTCAGATGAGACCATATAAATGAAGATCCCATCGCAGGTCCCATGTCGCAGTAGGTGCTGGCACGAAAAAGATTCCTCACTGCTCAAAGGCTTTAAGTGCCGAGTACAGGTCTAGATTTTCAGCCCTCCACCGACAAGTGGCGGTGTCTCAATATGAGCGAAAACTTCTCGAAGGGACGTTAAACAAACAAACAAAAAACAAATGTGTACCTTTTGATTTGGAAGAAAAATTAACGAATACCCTCATATCAAACCGATTAAAAAGTATTAAACATGTATGATACTTTTTCTTAACAAGAATGTCAAATCAAGTTACATGTCAGATAAAAGAAACGCATAGCCAACAAGATAGTATATAATTATTGTTCCTTAATCATTCGATTATTGAAAGGATGATACTGGATTTAAAGTAAATGTGGTTTCTCAGATTTGAATCAAAACGGGAGTTTGTTTTACAAATTTTGCAACACCCTCAGTACATGTTGAAATACAGAAATTAGGGAAAGAGCTACATGTATGTTCACTTTATGTATAAAATGGTCCTGTCCTTCTATCAATTAATAGACTATCACCCTTTGTCCTGTAGAGACTTAGTGCTTTCATTTCCTGTAACAAAATTTCTTTTTGAGAATCCACGTATTGGAAAACAGGCTTTGTAAAAATGCAATGTTCTTGAATTTTGTCGAAAACAGGCGTATTTGACTACCTTCAACAAAGGATTAAAATGTGAGCATAACCCTCCATCCAAAAATTAAAACATGTTTTATGATCTTCAGAAACAGATCATTCATTATGTAATTGCATATTTTGGATCAGAGGTTGTGCTTCATATAAAATATTAAAAAAAATACTTTAACTTTGGCTATTTTTTTTTAGGAATTTACAGGAAATTAGGAAAATGGCGCATTTAATGACGTCATAATGCATTGACTAAAGAGAAAAAGTACGTGATTTCAATAGATACACTGTCACCAAGGGTCCTAGTGATAGATACTGCATTGTCAATCAAAACTAAGCAGTTTCGTTTTTTCAGAAATTCACAGGGCCAAAAAAGGCCCTAAGTGGCCCTTGCTCTTTGCTAGAAAACAATCTAAAATCCTTGTTTAATACCTCATTAGACTATCTTGTAATATTACCTGGTAGGGATTTAATTTAGGTAAATGCTTTCGAGTTGTTGACTTTATAAGTTGATATAGATGTAAAACAAAAACCAATATACATGTAAGATAAATGGGTACAAAAACACTTCTAAATTGGAAAGCCTAAGAAATGTGATATTAATCTTGCAACATAATTCCTTTTTTATCATGCAAAATATTTAAAATAAGTAAGTAGGTTTCATGCAATACAAAAGCAACGTTGCCTAACAAAACTTACATATTAGTTGGCAGGGTGAAATACATGTAAATTCGATGGATTTTCATTAAGTCTTCGTTTACTACCATGCTAAAGCAATAAACGATATAACATTTTCTTGAAAAGCTTTAACCAACCAATCAAAAATTTGCAAATTTATGGACTCCGTTAATAGAAAAATAAAATTATTTTGCAACAGTGTCAAAAAGAACCAAAAGAATTGTTGAAGTTTAATTATCAAAACAGCTTGAAAAAACTTACAAAACGGACAATGTCTTTTAAACATAATTGCATCGGATTTTTGCTACTTTTTTCCGAAGATCATGGCACTAAAGAAACTTGATGTGTGTGTATACTCTGATTTTACTCTCAAAAATTTGATCAGTCCTTAATACCGAAGTTAAGTACATTGATATGCATTACGTATTTTGTTTCTTTAAACAATTTTGAAAACTTTTGAATTTAATGTTGTTTGTGACATAATAACTACATGATTTTTGAAAAGATATTATAATAAATTTAAATAAACAAAGACTTTCTTATAGCACAATCACACCCTTAATACTTGAGTTAATGCTCATAATATCGAACATTTTAGACAACCCTCGCGGTTCAATGTATTATGAAATCATTAAGCTTGTTTAAGATAATGTACACGTTGTTCACAACGTGTTCATATCTACGCACCAAATAACTAATAAGTACAAATTGTATATAACTTCGTTCTCACAAAAGAAAATAAACCATTACGTCATTTTTTCCCAGTAATTTGTATTCTTTTTCAAATTATTACAACAAAAGAATTTCTTTTTTCTCTAATTCATAATCATTTCTTTAAATTAAATTGGTATAGGATAGAATATTTCTCACAGCTATTTTCTACTAGGTAAAGAAAATACATCCCCTCTTCTCTCAAGAATTATTTTTTCTTTGATCTCAGAGAAGATGGGAAATATTTACCAACTAAGGAAAAGTACAGTAACATAAAAAGTCAATACGCCTGCGTGAACAGTCTCTCTTTCTTATCTCTCCAACTTTTACGTATATCACTTTAGTTAATTCCTACTTTCTCACATTACATTCAAATCAAAAGTCCAGCAAGACTCAATTCCATAATGCAGAAATCCATCTGTTGTATGCTTTTTGCTGTCCTTGGGACCTCTTATGCATTTCTTTTAGGCGATGGTCCAATCCACGCTTCATGCAAAGTTGACTGGTATGTATTTTATGGATGTTAGAGATTTTTTTATTTAGAAAAAAAATTATTTGTCTTTGAGGCTATCGTTTTTGATTTTAAAAATAGCTGTTTAAAGCTATACTCAAATATAAGCAACGGACATATAATTATGAATAGGCTGTTCTACAACGTTGTAAATACTTATATAAATTCTTATGAAATGTTTGTGAACAATGAAAAAATCAATGAATTAAATCAAACTTGATTACTTTCTGTAATATGCTCTTAAATAGACTTTGAAATGAAAAACGCAGTTTTCTGCAATGTCTACATTAATTTTTCCCCCAAAGATTACTCTGTATTTCAATTTGATTACTAGATAGTTAGGATGTTGATAATTAATTGAATATTAATTTTGATTCTGTTATATTTCCTGGCATAACAAATGACCATTTATTTTTGACAGGACATTTGGAACTTCTTGTGATGACGTGAAAACAAAGATCAAGAGTCAGATAGCCGCCTGGACGTCTGCTGATGGATGTGCAAACGGAGGCGAAAAATGTCTGTACACGGTAAGTCAAATATGGAGGAAAAAGAGTGTCTGTATGGATACAAAATCCCCCCCCCCCCCCAAAAAAAAAAAAAAAATTAATACACATGCATTTGTAAAGAGCGATCACAAAAGATCACGTGATGACCTTCGAAAGAAATAAAGTACTTGTGACCCTACTTGTGCTACTTGTGATAGCTTCCACGCGTCATATTATTCCTTCGAGTTAATCACCTTGGCCGCCATCTTGGAGGTCAAACTGATGAATTTTCCTATTTGAGCAGCCATGACAGAAATTCTTTATAATATTAAAATTATGAATATAAGGAGGCTTTATCAAAATTATACTTGTCAGGAAACCAGTGTTGTGTACACCTCGGTGCCCAGTATTTCAAATTTAAATAGGTTGAAAAATGAAGGAATTTTTAGTATTGTTGAACTTTAATATGGCGGCATCAGGAAATAACTATATTGAGAAAATCACGCTCTCTCGAAGAAAACAGAGACAAAGTTTTTGCACGAAAGTTTATAATGTCACGTACAAAATGACAAAAATCGTATTGATTTCTCGTTAACTACAAGATTTAATTTGATATTTTTGTGTGAATTTGTAAATAGAAAGTTAAATTACAGCATACTCTAAATCAATCTTTAATTTCCAAATAGAAAAAATAACATTTTATTATTTTGAAAAAAAGAGATTAAAAGAGTATGAACTGAAGATTTTCGTAGAAACAAACGTTAGGGAAATATGTTGACGCTTTGTGAAAAAATATATAATATGCATATATGAAAGGTCTTTCTATTTTCTTTATGATTTATTATTCTAACAGTTTAAATCTGAGGCTGGTAACACACTGAAGGCCACACATGAGACCCCTGTCCATCATTACGTTGATGATCTGACTTTTACATTTACTCCAGTTGATGCCTCCTCATGCAAAGTTCATGTAAGTATTAGTGAATGCAGGTATTTTAGAAGAATTGCGAAGTTACAATAGTATACCCCCCGCTTGCAAACTTGAAAAGCAGGGATGTGTAGTGATTGGGGTGTTTGTCCATCGATCTGTACATCCGCCACTCCTTCCGTTACGCTTTGGGTATCCATCTCTTATCCGCAATTCCCCTTATACCACTGATTTAAATTTAATGAAACTTTCACAGAACTTTTGTTACATAGTGCCATTGAGGGTTTCCTATTACGTTTTGATCAGACATATATTTTCCATTGGAAAACATAGACACTGCCATTCTTTCTATAATGTGGGGGACACCCATCTCTTATCTGCAACTTCTTCTGTACCACTGAATATAATTTGATGACACTTTCACAAAATCATTATTACATAGTGCCATTGTGCATATATTTTTGGTTTGCATAGCAAAAATGGAGACTGCCATTCTTTCTGTAATACCAGGGGTGCCCATATCTTTTCTGCAACTCCTATTCCAGCAAAGAAAATTTAGTGATACTTTCACAGAATCTTTATTACATGATTACATTGTGCATATTTGATCAGACACATATTTCGGGTTTGCATAGCAAAAATGGAGACTGCCATTCTTTCTGTAATACCAGGGGTGCCCATATCTTATTTGCGACTCCTATTCCAGCAAAGAAAATTAAATGATACGTGCACAGAATCTTTATTACATAATTACATTGTGCATATTTGATCAGATACATATTTCGGGTTTGCATAGCAAAAATGGAGACTGCCATTCATTCTGTAATACCAGGGGTGCCCATATCTTATTTGCGACTCCTATTCCAGCAAAGAAAATTTAATGATACTTTCGCAGAATCTTTATTACATACTGACATTGTGCACCTTTTACATTATGTTTTGATCGGACAAATATTTAGGTTTTTCCGTAGCAAAAATTGACTTTGCCATTATAATCAATTGAGAGCAGGGGTATCATTTTGTGAGCTTAGTGCTTACAGTACTTCTAGTTTATGATTAATATTGAAGTAGGTCGAAAATTGTAGAATTAAGTGACTTTTGGCTCACCTGATCTGAAAGCTCAAGTGAACTTTTTTGATCACCTGTTATCTGTTGTTTGTCCGTCTGTCCGTCCCTCTGTAAACTTTTCACATTTTCTACTTCTCAAGAACCATTGATCGAGTTTTGACCAAAATTGGTACAAAGTGACCTTGAGTCAAGGGAATTCTAAATTGTGAAAATGAAGGGCCAAGCCTTCATCCAAGGGGAGACAATCAAGAAAAGGCAAAAATAGGGTGGGGTCATTAAAAATCTTTTCAAAAACCACTTGGCCAGAAAAGATGAAATTTATCTGGAAGCTTCCTGAGGTAGTGTAGATTCTAAATTGTTTGTATAATGGCCCCCAGCTGGGATAGGAAATCAAATTTTACATTAAAATATATTGGAAAACCCCTAAAAAACTTCAACTCTAGAAGCACTGGACCAAAAAAGATTAAACTTATGTGGAAACTACTGAGGTAATGTAAATTTTAAATTGTTCATATCATGGACCCCCGGGATATTGTGGGGACCCAATAGGGGATCATAGTTTTACGTTGAAATATGTAGGACCATTTTTTAAAAATCTTCTCGTGAAACACTGGGTAAGAAAAGCTGAACTTTATGTGGAAGCTTCCTGAGGCAGTAGAGACTGTAAATTGTTCCAATCATGTTCCATAGGGATAGGGTGGGGCCACAGTTTTACATTGACATATAGAGGGAAAAATCTTTAAAAATCTTCTCAAGAACCACTGGTCCAGAAAAACTGAAACGTTAGTGGAAGCTTCGTGAGGTAGTGTAGATTGTAAATTGTTCCGATCATGGTTCTCAGGGTTAGGGTGGGGCCACATTAGGGATTAAATATGGAAAATATTTAAAACTCCTCTACCCAAGAACTCCTATTAATAGAAGCAATCTCTGGTAGTGTAGATTCATTTTCTTTAAGTCATGACCCCTGTATATAGCGTGGGGCCATAAAAGACAATTAAATTTGACATACGAAAACATGTCTATTGGGGAAAAAAGCCGATGCAGAATATAAGGGCCCAAGTGACTCAGGTGAGCATTGTTGTCCTTGGACCTCTTGTTTGTGTTCTTAGATTTACATTTACAAGGATGTGAAATCGAAATGTATATTAATTCGGTTCATATTTATTCTTATAGAAAACCGTAATTCAGTAAATTAAAACTCGGTAATAGCCAAGTCCTGGAGACCTGCTAATTAACTTCGCTATATCCGTATTTCGTTATATCCGAGTAACGAATTCGTTAAAAAATAATACATAGCCAATTCACAATATAGATTTTTGTTCTTCACGTATGAATACCAAATGTATTTAGGGAGGTTAAAAAAACAGAGGTTACCTGAGAGTTTGAGAAGTTTTCGTATGAAATGAAATATAATACTTACAAAAAACTTATACTTACATAAATACTTAAAAAAAAATTGTCAGTTCAATATTCTTTAAGTTGAGGTCTTTGAAAATTAGTTATAAATGATGTATTAAATTTTGTTATTTTTAACCTCTAAGGGACATAAAATCAGTTCGCTACACCCGTAAATTCGCTATATCCGTAAAATTTTACAAGGAATAGTTAACAATTTTACCGGGGATTCTAAAATCTTTCGCTCTATCAATAAATTTGCTATATCCATGTTCGTACTAAACTAGTTTTACTGTTCTTGTATTTATATTTTTTTAAACTGTTTTAAAGATACAGTGTATTTGGGGGATTTCACATTCTTTTTAGTATTCCTTACCCTGGGCCATCTATAAAAAAAATTCATGCTGATAATTTTCTCTTCCACAATTTGACCTTTCAAAGACATATAGATTTGTTGTGCCATTGCCTTAAAACGAGTTCAAAATGTATATTTTTTGAAATGAAATAATGCATTTTTAAAATTACTTTATTTTGAAAATAAGTTTACAAAACATAAGCTTATGATTTCAAACAACATTTTTTTTTTCAAAACATTTTCTCAACTCTTCTCAGAATGACTCCTCTCTTTATTGAGATAGGTTCATACGTAAGGAGAACTTATTTATCAGTAGATAAGTCATGGTGTGTGTTGCATTCATAATTTTTCATACATTCTGTTTGTTTTAGGGATACTCTACCTCAGAGACCTGGTATGCTCATCTCGACTACAGTACCAACTACTGTAACCTCAACAATCTCATAACAGGTAAACTGTCTAATTCTGTGAATTCACAAACAATTCCAGAAAATTTATAAATAGTTATTTCCATTTTATTGGAACATAACTTTATTGTTTCTTTCGCCAGCATATCACCTGAGGACTTAAAGTATATAAAGCTTTTTGTTATCCATTAATTCCCATTATTAGTTGGTCATGTCTTTCATAATTAACGACTAAACTAAAACTTGGACAAGATTTCAAAAATAATTCTTTATAAAACTTTTGAATATAGATAGTTAATGCGAATACATTTTAAGAGAACACAGTTCAAAAATTTGCTGTTTCTATTTCTTTGGATAAATACTGAAGCTAAGTATTTATTATCAATCATTTATAGGAATTTGAATTACATAGATGTGTTTTTTATGTTCCAGGATCTGCCTTACATCAGGTTTCAGGATACACGGAAACTACCTCAGACAAAATCTGTACACAATATTCAGAGGCAAACTGTGATAAGTACTGAGTGTGAATAATTAACAATAAAATTAACAAAATAATGATTTATTAAATGTTGATTTGTGAGTACAATGAAACATGTGTATCACATATACCAGAACTACACATGCATACATGTGTCGGAAAAATTATAACACGTGTTTAGTATATAAAACGTACAAAATAGGTTAACATATGTTATATTAGCATAAGAATTGTAAATGTATGATTACGTTGCAAACACATGCTCCTCATATGTTTGAAACATATGTTAAAGTGTACATAAATCATGCTGAAAAATTCGTATATATGAGACATATTTATGAATTTCAATTCGTCATATACATTAAATGGTGCTCCTTTTATAATTATATGCTTTAAACATGCATATGTTGAACGTATATTACCTTATTTAAATGTAATCATACTTTTCAAACGTAAATTGATTAAAGCACAATGCTCTTTTTTATGGAAAAAAATACCTTTGAAAAATGTGTTACACTGCGTGATAATTAAAGAGTGCAGTTCATTTAGTTCTTCTAAGAGATATTTTAAATCATTAAGATAGAAAGCTCACCTAAAGAATTGAACTTTCCATCAATACTAGGACAGGTTTAATCGAGATAATTTTCTAAGTTAAATAGAATAAAGAATAAGATTCTTTTCAAATAACTCTGCAATAAATTATATGAACAGGTCAGACCAAACGAAAAGTGAAGTAGAAGATATGAGAACATAAACTATAAACTATATTTTCTTTAACATACAAATATACACAATTAATATATGTACATATGTATGATAACAAAGATTTTTGAACTGGTCAAGTCTTATCTTGCCCTTGTAGATTTCACCTATCTCTATTATAACATTAGCAGAAGAGTTATATTACTACATAATCTTAAGTCACTTAAGAAGCCATAACAATCACTTATCAGTAGACTAACTAGTTCAGTGTAGCTCTTCTATGTTAGAATCAGGATGTTCCATTATTTCTTTACCCTAGGCATTCTCTCCTCTCCCTTTATAAGTTTTTTTTTTTTTATCTTATTTGTATACTAGTAATTTTTTCCATCTTTTTTCTCTCTAACTTTAATCAGTTGAACAATTTAAAATAGTTTATGAGCGTGTCTTTGTCCAATTCTAAAACCATTTGCTTTCTGGCTCGGTGAATATTGTACTCCTCAGGTGTCTAAATAATCGTATTGACCTCAAAAACCAAGACTCTTAATTTGAAAAAAAAGTTGTGTGATAATTGTATAATATGTTAATAAGACAATAACAAATAAGGCATGTTCTAACACATTCAAGTGAAGACACTTATACCCTTCCGTAAATACATACCCTAAAAGTATTGACACATAGGAACAATAGACTTTGGTGGCATAATTCTACCAACACACCTCAAGATGTTTATGTCGACTTGTCATATGTTTATGTCGAATTGTCAGATAATTATGTCGACTTGTCAGATCTTTTTGTTGACTTGTCACTTATTCGCTTGTTTAAAAATTCAACATGAAGACATGCCAATGCCAAAGTTGTGCAATCCAGTTGGCGGCATATTTTTTTCTGACAAGTCAATATAAGTATCTGACAAGTCGACATAAAAATCTGACAAGTAAGCTTTATTTTACAACAGGCCGACATAACTCATAATTCTCTGATAAGTCAACATTAATAACTGTCGAGTCGACGTAATCATCTGACAAGTCGACATATTATCTGTCAAGTCGACATAGCATATCAAACGTCGACATCACTATCTGAGAAGTCAGCAAAACATCGGATAAGTTGATTTCGGATAATTATGTCGACTTGTCAGATAATTTATGACATGTCAGAAATTATGCTGAGTTGTCAGATAATCATGTTGCATTGTCAGAAAATTCTATCAACTTCTCAAAGAATCTTTATTTTTCAGTCAAATATGTTGACTTGTCAGATATAATGAAGGCAAGTAAATGTCAGTTTGTAGCATAAAAAGTGTCTTGTAACACAACACACTTGGGTTCCTAATCATGATGATTATTATTGACAAGTCAAATTAAAGATCTGAAAAGCTGTCATAAACATTTGACAAGTCGAATTAACCATCTGGCGAGTCAACATAACATCAGACAAATTTTGACAGAAAAGTACCACCATAATAGACAAATCTGATGCTTGTTTTTGCTGATCCTTGATTTTGCTTGTGTGCACTTAGTGTGTGACCAGCTTAAGCTACTGAACTGTTCAAATATAACTATGCAATTCAAATGTTTAGAATGAGGGCAACCGCAGGCAGCATTGTAAAAAGAATGTAATTTTTTTAAGATATGATTGACTTTCAAAAAGCACAAGACCAATAGTCCTGATTCTTCTTGGGGAAAAGTAGTTCAGAACTTCAGCTAATAAACATGATTAAAGTCGTCACCACCGGCTCGTTAGAGCACAACTCAGATGTAACAGAAACAAAAAAATAATACCCTGAAAACGTCACAATTTCATTCCCAAAGGGTAATGTGATAAATTCCCATGTCACTTCAAGAATATTTGTTAGTGATGCAGTGGTTAAAATTTTATTTTGCATTGCAGAGTTACACAACTGCTTCACAAGACTTTTCTCTGTCCACAAGATACTCCGAGTGCTTTCATAGGCCAGCTAATTGCGTGGGAACATAAATAACAAACTATGACACAATCGAAGCAAACATGTAAGTCATTGACCCCGGCTGATTCAGGTTTCAAAACACTTATAATCTCTCTGTAAAATGTAATATAAGAATATTGAAACAAAATCTAGATACAGATATGAGAACTTCCATTGAAATCTCTCACACTCAACCCGGGACTTAGAGATAGATAAGACTGAAAACTGTGTGGATCATTCTTCTCTAGCATGTTTTAAGATATACTAGTACAGCCCATAAGAACGGGGGATATGCTAAAATTCACCAAAATATTGGTTACATTTCTAAAACTTTGTTTGAATATAATTTCTTCCTAAAAGTTTCTTGAAAATTTTTTTTGTGGCAATTAGTCATGATAAGCAGAGGGAAAGAACCGCTAAAAGAAAGTTGAAAAATAAATCAAATCATTAAATCACAAAAATTCTAATTGTTAAAAGAGTCGCAACAAATAGAAAATAGCTGTATGATTCCTTAGCATTAATTACACTTATATCAGCTGTGTACAAGTAATTATCGAAATCTTTATAAATGTCATATTCTAATTGAGAATTCATTTTCCCGCCTACTCAAAGAATTCTATCTCAAATAAAAGATTTGAAAATGAGCATTTACATGAGCATAATTGATGGGTTTCTGAAGAACAAGAACATTTCAATTTGAATATTTCTTCTGTAACTGTCAGAGGAAAGAAAAGAAAAGACAACATTTAGTCCCTAAAAGAAGATACTTCACATACAGGTAACAGTATTTTTTTTACATTCAGAATGAAAAGAGTGATGCATTGTGGCTCACATGTGGTCTTAAATACTACACATTTCAAATAAATATTGATCATTTAAAAAAAAAACGCAATAATTTTTATTTCAAATGTTTACAGATTTTAAAGAGAGTATAGTAATTGTATAGCTATAGAGACATACATTTTAAGAAGATTATCGACAGGGTGCACATTTAAACAACTTTAACCAAATCGACCAAGTAGAAACCTCCATCAGCCATTTATTACTCTCATTACAGATTTGAAGTATTGATTTGTTTATAATTTGATTATAAGCTGTGTACAGGATTAAAGATGCAGTCAGATTTAACAGATTAAACAAAAGTCGAAACCACAGAGTCTGCCACATCTGTTTCATATTCGGATGTTTTACTGACTATAGATGATAAGGGCTAACTAAACTGTATGACAAACGAGATAACATCGGCTTTTCCATCGTTAACATTCCTTATTTATGTAGTAATATTCCCCTATCACCAACACATGGTATTTATGTCTTCTAATTCATTCGATACTCAAGAACATGCTCTAAGAACGATTAAATTTTAAACTGATGCAGGCTACTTCCAGATAAGTTGATGTTACAGGGATTTCACTCCCTTCTGTATTTTTTTTCAGTATTTTGATTTTATTCACTAAGTATAATTTTACTAGTCATAAAATTAAATTCAAATGTTTGTTATGACTTAAACTTATCATTTTTAAAAACGTGATGAAAAATAGTAATCAAAATTTAGTCTTTTTAAAATATAGAGCTTTCTCTCTTTAAGAAAAATTAAATCTACCAACAATTTTTTTTTTGATTTCACTCAATCCGATTCATACTTTTCTATGAATTGGATTGAGTGAAATTCATGAACATTGGGGAACCTTGTAACAAAATGGCTTGCAATTTTACTTGTTAACATTATTTATGAGTAAATATTTTTTTTAATCCAACAATTCTACTACCTTGGACACAACTTAAAGCCAAGTAAAAATCGTGTGATGTTAAAACTGTTAGAATAGAACTGATTAAACATTAAAGCCTACCCTAGGTCGTGGGCAGGTTAATACTTACCTGAGCTTATCCCAGGGGATGAAACAGTAAAAAATGGAAGCTGTTCCCAGTGGTATACCTAATTGAAATACAAATATTAATAGAGTTGAGACTTCAAGTATCAAGAGTGCAACTTATGTAAGAATATCACCAAGTCCGAGTAATAAAAACATGAAATACCTCCTCGCAACTGCCGTCGATCCTCAAAGTCAAAAAATATAATAATAAATTATTTAAAAAGGGTTATTTTTTCATTAAGTGTTAATAAGAACTCCAAATTTTTATTTATTTTGATGCAGATATTTAAGTCTCGCTTTTTTGAGGAGGGCTTCTTTTTGTTGAAATCACACATTTGTTTTCATTAAAAATTCACCTTAGTAAACAAATTAAAGATTCAGAGGAATGTTTATTACCAAATGACCCGAATATTCTTAGATGACATCCTTTCGAGGAATAATTGAATAAAGACGGACGACGAAGCTTCTGTGTTTTGTGAATATTTAGTAGGTCACCCGAGCCACTCAGGTAACCTATTGCTATC